CGTTATCAGCACGATAGTCTAGCCGTCTGAGCAAAATTCAAAAATCCTAACCACTGAGTAAACCCTAGCCGACNAAGCAAACATAAACGGCGCGGCCGCCGAAATTTCTAGCCAACATCTTTGGTCTCTCTCCGTTTCCAATCTCCGATCTGANCACCACCGTATGAGATAAGTAACCTCAAGTTATATAATTGATTGGTTCATGCTTTATCAGTAATCGCTTCCTTCGATATCACTGATTGAATCATGATTTAATTGCCTCAGTCTAATCGCAATTTCATAATTATGATCGTATTGCTTAACTGGTTTTATTAGAAGAACTAGGATTGTTTATAAATTATAATTGTCGTCACATGATTTGTTATGGTGCTTTGTTGTTTGATTTGATTGTTTTNTCATTGATCGACACCTNCTTCCTCTCATGGTNTGAAAATTATTAATTATAAATCGTTGGTTTGATACTCAATGGTTCTGGTTCGGTTCTCTGTTTGATATACATGATTTATTGCTTTAGAATCAGAACATAATTCACATTAATCTAATCATGTTTGCAACCAATAAATTGGTTATTTTCATTAGATTAAACATGCCTCATGCTTTTATATAAACATGCACAAGATTACTGTTTATTCGTTTTGCATGATAATGTTTTCGTATGATTCAACATGAATTTTGATCATATTTCATGTGATAGAATGATCATGACCTTACGGCTTTTAGTTTTAGACCATAAATACGATGTTTTAAGCATCTTAGCTTCAAATTATATTTCATGGTCGTCTCATGCTTCATTATTGACTTTTGTTTAATTGATTTATTATTAGATGCTGGATAGNCAAAACCCTAACCACCTTCGTTACGTCTTCGATCTCAAATCTGTTCTTTCTCCATGGAGTCGGCATCTCCGATCTCTAATAATGAATCCAACGTCCATAGCCTTTAANANAGTAANTATTATTCCATCAAAGAATTAATCGCCTAATTACATTATAAATCGATACGTACATGCTTTGATGTTACTCTACTTTTTCTAGTTTGAGAATCATTTATTAGAAAATTCATAAGAGAATCGTTCGCTGNTTTGGTAATATGGAAATCATTAATTTGATATGCATCNCATGAATATTTTATAATTCGTTGATTTGGTAGACTAAAATAATGGACTAAATTTGATTGTTTTAATCTCGATTGATGATGCGGCCTCACGTTTATT